CTGGGTGGGAGCAGGCAAACAAGGTGTAGAAAACGCTGACTCGGGGTTAGGCAGTTTTGCCATCGCACTGGGTATAAAGGGAGCTTTTTCAAAAGCGGGAACTGAGAATCCCATGATGACCAAGAAAGAAGAACTGAGAGTGGGCCGAGTTTGAGATCCCTGTGTGGAGGGACACACGGAGCAGCCGGCTTCTTCTCCGCCCACATCTGGGTAAAGCTCCGGGCCTTCGGGCAGAAGGCTGGCTTGCCGGGCATGAATCAGCACTGAGGGAGCTCTGAAACTGCAATCTGATTGACAGGCTAGACCCCACCCCTCCACACATTGACACCAGATGATGTAACTACCACCATGAGTGGTAACAACCTGCCCAAACAGGACAGTGGCCAAGAGGCTGCAGGGCGGAAAGATTTGTGTCCTTAACATTTCTGATGGTCACCTGTCACCTACTGAGTTCCCTAATACACCCCATCACAGCGAGGATGGTTTGTGAATTCTGTGTGGCCATTATGAAGGGCTTGTAAGCCCAGTCGAGAAGTGGAATGCCGTGGAAAGGGCAGTCGGTGACCGAACACACTCACTGCCACCGGGTGTAGGCCGACTCACGGTGACCCTATAGGTCCAGAGAGAACTGCTCCTGTGAGTTTCCGAGACTGTACTCTTGATGGGAGGAGAACGTCCCATCTTCCTCAGCGGCGACTGATGGCTTTGAGTTGCAGGCCCAATGGGTGACCACGGTGCCACTAAAGCTCCTCTGGTGACAGGTTAGGGTCAAGGAAATTAATGGTGGAGACATCGCACACCTCTGTCTCGTGGGACTCCCCCCTGGGCTGGGGTGTGGCTGCACGGTCCTTCTTCCTGTTCCAATGATTCCTGTGCCATTTCCTCAGCCACGAAGGCCTGGATCTTGCAAAATCCTATCATGTGAACTCCAGCTTCCCCCGCAAGACTATATTTCCCCGTTACTGATCCTCCTCCGTTCCCAGGGGCTGCATTCTAATCACGAGGAGTGATCAGTGCATCTGGATCGAATGCGGACCCGTTGTCTGCACCGCTGGCCGTAGCAGTGGGTGTGCATGCTGGAATGATCATCGTGTTAACTGGTCTCCCTTGTAGGTGTCTCCTAATCATCTTATCACAGACAGCGCTGTACTCCAAGATAGGAAACTTGAAATGTCCTTTCGGATGGTGAATGAGATGTCATGCCTCCTGATTTTGTCATTTCTGTCTGTGTTGGTCCGGTGAACTAGAGAAACAAATTTATAGACACTCATATGTGTGTAAGAAAGAGCTTTATATGTAGGAGCAATTGTATATTGAGAAAACATCCCAGCCCAGTCCGGATCAAGTCCATTAGTTTGATATTAGCCCATCTGTCCAATACTAGTCCATAAACTCCTCTTTAGGCTCACACGGTACATGCAATGATGCTGAATGCAGGAAGATCACAGGCCAGTGGGTGGAAAGTCCCGTAGATCCAGTGGCAGTGGATGCATCTCAGCGCTGGTGTGTGTTTCCACGTGGCTCCTCCAGCTCCAGGGCGCTGGCTCCATCAGCATAGCTCCATGTGGCTTGTCAACAGGAATGTCTCACAGGGAGAGTCTGTGTCCTGCTTCCAGGGAGGAAGACAGGAGTCTCCAGAATCCTCAGGAGAAGGCCATGCCCACACAGAGGCCTCATTAGCTATGACCCGATTGACAGGCTAGACTCCACCCCTTCACTCAAGTGGACAGGAGATTATGTAACTGACACAGTGTCCAATTCAGTAGCCAACAGCTGTCCATTACAGCTCACGAATGCCTAGGATATTGATCATCCTGTGTTCCATTTCATTTTTGATGACTTTCCAATCTCCTAGATTCATACCTCACCCGTTCCACGTTCTGATGATTAATGGGTGTTTACAACTGTTTCTTCTCATCAGCAGGTGAAGGTGCAGAATGCTTCGGCGCATCCACATTGTGAAGGTCAACTTGACTTTGAGGAGGCGGCTCTTCCCCAGCTGTATTTCCATGCTTGTGGGTCGCTCCAGTCAGGATGGCGGTGAGTTGAATTCAATGGCAGTGAGTTCCAGCCTGAGGGGCTTATGTTCCAGCACCAGTGGCTAATCCCTCAGAAACGGGTGACCTGTTCCTTCCTCGAAGTCGGTTCTTACAGGCAGCTCCGCTGGAACCTATTCAGCATGGGTGATGGCTGGAATTCGAAACACCGGTGACATGGCTTCCGGCATCACAGGCACACATCGGCCACCATAGTCTGACTGACAGACAAACGCAGCTGCATCCAAAAAACCCAAACCGAACGCACTGCCATGGAGTCGATTTCAACTCAGAGTAGAACCGGGTTTCAGAGATGAGGCAGACAGCCCCATCTTTCTCCCAGGAAATAGTCACTGGGGGGTCCACACCACTGACCTTGTAGTTAGCCTTCACTGCATAGCCCACTACACCACCAGAATTCCTGTATCAACTCCCCGCCTGGAGTTGATTCTGACTTACGGTGACTCTACAGGACAGGGCAGAACTGCCCTTTTTGGTTTCTGAGACTAATAGTCAAGGAAGTAAACAATTTCATCTTTTTTCTGCAGAGCAGTTTGTGGGTTCGAACTGCTGACCTTGTGGTTAGCAGTTCCAGTCAGCCCCAAACCCCCACACTTGGATGACACGCCCCTGTCTAGCCCAGTCCAAATCTCCAGTGCCTGTCCTTGAACGGGAAGCCAAGAGCATCCTCCATGGTCATTACAGGGTCAGGCACTTCAGAGTCAGGCAATTATAGGTTTTCCTTGTCAACCCTCCCAATTATCCAAGAATTGCCACTGAGTACCCACTTTGAAGATGAGCTGTGGGATTCCTAAGTAGTGTATTAGAATTTAAATTCTGAGTCCTGAATTTGCAGAAGACCACAGATGACAGTGAAAACCCAAGATCCATTAGCAGGGTCCCCACGTGGATTGAATCTCCATGGAAACCCTTCTGTCTATTCACCAGGCATGAGAACTGCCTTGCCCTCAGGCCGAGTGGACCAGAAAGTGGATCGCCTTCAACCACCTCTGCACTGAGGCCAAGGAGGGCAGTGTCCCTTAGGGGATTGCCAGGGTGTGTAAAGGATGGAGCTTGAAGACCTGGGGGTCACATGGTCAGGAGTCATGCTATGATCCTCTCTGGACATCACTGGCCTCCCACTCCACTTCTTGCCAAAGAATCAGAAAGCCAGGGGCTCAACTGGCAGACCAGTAGGTGGTGGTCATGGCACTAGTGGGTGTGATTTTTGTTATTATGATGAGCAACAAGGTTTCTTTAGGTCGTTTTATCCCCTACCCCATGTGCTCAAGGTGGGAGAGAGAGCTCCAATCGCAGGGTCCTTGAATGACTAAGTTTCGCTGCAGTTGGTCAGTCAAACTCTTCTTGACTAACTCCCTTATTCTTAGGGTGCTTTCCAGTGGAATTTTCCAGCGTCCCTGTTCTTTCTCTAACAATGCCCTATCTGTTGTGCCCTGACTGCCTTAGTTGGGAGGGAGGCTCTGGACCAATTTTGTAAGCTCTTCTGTCTCAGTGCCCCAGTCCTGGGCTTCTCCCGCGTCTGCGGTCTCTTAACTGTGATGCCTGGATCTGCCACCGACCGTGGGTGTGCAATGCTTTCCTTTGCCCCATGCACTATTTAAGCAGCTGTGTAGCTAGCCACAAAAGAGCCCTGATAGTGTATTGGGCTATGTGCTGAGCTGCTAACTGCAAGGTCAGCAGTTCAAACCCACTAGCCACTCCTTGGGAGAAAGTTGAAGCTTTCTACTCCTGTAAAGAGTTACAGTCTTAGAAACCCACATGGGCAGTTCTCCCCTGTCCTTTAGTGTGGCTAGTGGACTCAACAGCTGTGAGCTTTTTAAGAGCATGGAACAGCCTTGGGACACTCTTGTGACCTTGGTCTAATGGTCTGTCTCACCCTGAAGATAAGTCTTTTATCTTGTCTTTGGGCTGCTTGCAACTTAACAAATGTTCTCCGTTTATCTGAGATCGGGGTCTCTTTTGCACCCTAACACAGTAGCCAAGCAGGAATTCAAACCTCTGTCTTCTAACCCCGAATCTCATTCTTTTTGTGTACATTATCTCACTTAATAACCTCATGACAAGCAGGACTCACTCTTGAATTGTGGTCAATGTCAGGGAGGTTCAAAAAGTTCCTGGGGAAATGCCATCATCTTTCAATTCTATGCTTCCATGAACTTCCCCAAGTGCACTCCCACCACCACCAACCCACCGCTCCCCAACCTCCAGACAGGTAGAAACGCATTTGCCGCACCTGGCCGGCTTCCCTGCTCCTTCCACTCAGTACGTGTTCTGCGTTTACAATGTGCCGGCCACGGAACAGAGCTGCGGAAATGGACCATCAAGTTAACCGTCAAGTTCAGGAGACCCCAGACCCTCCGCTCAAGCGGTCCCAGTCCCGGCAGGCTTGTCAGGTGGAGCAGAGGGTAGGATGGAGTTGCAATGCCCATTTCGTGGGTGAGGAAAAGGAGGGGACGGCTGGTAGCATGACCGCCCAGACCACCAGGCGAGCTGCAGCGCCGGGCATCCCTCCCCACCCAGGGCTCCAAGCATCCTCCGCCTGCCCTCTGAGGGACAGCTCAGCGTCTGGCCCCCGGCGTTTCTGCAGACTTGGAAAGTTGCGCTGGCACAGCGCCCCACGAACACTTAGACCCATTACCGGCATTTCACGAACAGGCTGGTTAATTTTCTTCGAACCCCAGAGACCACCCCCAAGAGGCCTGGCCTAGCCTGCATTTCCGG